CGACCGAGAGCGGGATCCTCCTGGATCCGGACATCCTGCGGGAGGAGTCGGTGCAGGCGCTGGTGCTGAACGTCCTCGCGACGCTGGTGCGGAACTCGTCCGACGAGGCGGAGCTCCGGATCCTCTATCAGTACCTGGCGGAGGCCTCGGTCGTGTTCTCCCGCGTCTTCTCCGTCATGTACGTCCTCGACCTCCTTCTTTCTCCCCGGGGAGAGGGCAGCGGAGTCGGTTTGGCTCCTCAGCCTTTTGCCTGTCCTCTGGCTGGGAGGTGTGGATCGAGACTTGGGGTTTGGGACATTTGGGAGTTGGTTCATGCGTGATGGGATGGGGTCAAGAAAAGGAGTGGTGCTTCACCCAGTGGCAGAATAATTTAATGCTGTGAAAGCCACAGTTACCATAGGCAGACTTGTGGGTTTACTTGGCAGGTATTGGTTTTCTGAGAATATTGGTTGCTTTTGAACCAAAACTGGGCTTTGTTTTGGCTCATGTTACTAAGTACTATTATGTCTGAAAAATAATGACTGTCCCTTTATCGCAAATCATACTTGGAGATGGGGATTGATGCATTGATTCAAAACCATGAAGGTTTGAGAAATTTGTTTCTGCTTGGCTAATGCTTGCTCTCGCATTTTAAGATTTCAACCAGAAAATTGCTTTCAGGAAAGTGCAATCCCTTTCTCCTGAGCACTGTTGAAGTCTTGAACCTGACATGAGTATTCATGTGGGGTGGGACATGCATTGTTTGTAAAATGGTGAAAAGTAGGTGGTAGAATTTGTCAGAATAATTCCTGCAGGAAAATTTACCTAAGAGTCTGGCTCTCTCGAGCGTCGCTCCGATTCGCAGCGTCCACGGTGACGATGGGGACGTTTTGTCGTTGCAGCAATTCCTTGCTGGACGCCAAGATCACGTCGGTGCTGTCGCTGTGCCACGACGCCGTGATCCTGGGTGCCGTCCAGGCAATCATCCAGAACATGGTCGCATCCGAGGATGCCTCCCTCCAGAGCATCCACTACCTGCAGAGCATCGGGTTCGGAGGGCTCTGGCGTTTCGCCGGCCCCTTCTCCAAGGTGAGGATGGAAGTCTCATGTGGTGAAAGGGAGGGCTGGAATGGCAGAAAGAGACTCAAATTGGTTACTTAAAAACATGTTTGGGTGGATTGGAAATGGAGTTAGACATGTAGTGAGTTTGGTTTTGTTTGATCTCAATTATGTGAATTAAGTTCATCTTGGAGACAGGTGGGGACTTGGTGCTGAGGTGAGGTTTCTGATGCTTTGATCTGGATAATTTCATAATTCTGATGAGTTTGGGGTGTGGAAGTACCTTTATTTTAGGCTTGGAAGGTTTGTAGGGGAAATCCTGGTTCATAATGTTCTTTGGTGGGATTCACAGCTTGTTTCTGAAGATTGATTCATGGAATTTCCAGTCCTTTTCGACCTAATTAACCCACAGTAAGAAAGCATGGAATCAGAAGAACCAGATCTGTGTGTCATTGTGCTTCTTGTCCCTGTGAAATGC